CTAGAGAGGGAGAGAGATGCAATGATTTGAGTGTTACGATTCTGGAGACCAGGGTCTGAATCCTCACTCAGCCCACAAATCACACTGCCAGCCTCAGAAGAAGCAAAAGCAATCCCCTTCTGAATAAATCTTGCCAAGAAAATCTCATCATAGTTTCACCTTTGGGTTGCCATAAGTCAGAAAAAGATTGAAGGCAGACAACAACAACTTCCTTTAGATTAATATTAATAAAAAAACTTTGTACCCAGTAGATTCTGTTCATTTCAGTGGAGATAAGAATTACATTCAAACATTTGTAGAGCTGCCTGATCCATTAAAAGGATGCTGATGCCACTGAACATCTTGAGAATAGACCAATTAGACAGTCCATTACATTTGATTCTGAGAAACAAATTACTATAATTCTCCTGTTTCCAAATGTCAGCTTCCTATAGTCAAATCTATTTAGTGTTCTTAAAATTAAAAAACAAGAAACATTACAATAATTGGGTTGCTGTAAGTTTTTTGGGCTTCTAGAACATGGCCATATAGCCAGAAAAACCTACAACAATAACTACTACTTAACTAGTAGTGTATAATCTATACTATAATTTAAAATGTTTGTTTGTTGTGCTATACAAATAAATCCATATACTTGATCAAATACTGCTATTTAGTGGAAGGGAAACAAAATAGTCAAATTTTTGGAGTTATTTTGCCAATTTCTCCATGTCTCTCCCAAACATTTCAGATTTCTCCATTTTGTAGGGAGCAGATTTGTGAAATGATATTGACCAAATCTGATATTTATGTTTAGATAGATATCCCACAGATTTTCATGCAAGTTTGGGACTTACTGGAAAACATTTTCTCCCCCTACCAAAAATTGCTTGAGTTCCATTTTGCATGGAAATTAGAAATGTAAAGGATTCTAGGTGCTTCTCTTCAAACTTTCAATTAATTCATATCATAACTCAATACAGCAGGTCGGTTTCCTGGTATCACATAATAATGTATGCAATATCATATAAGGCTTATATATGTCAGTACACATATTTGTCAGAATATATATATTTATGAGTTTTATTGGTAAATTCATATATATATATATATATATATATATATATATATATATATGAATTTACCAACAAAACTCATAAACCTAATAATATTAAATGTCTGGCTTGGAACTGGAATTGTAGATTGGTAGGTTAATTCACCATATGTGCTAAATTTCAAGATATTATAGCTGTGTGGACATCATCATACAAGCCATTTGGATATAAAAGTTATTAAAAAAATAAAATAGAAGTCCTGCTTGTTCATATCCTCTCTGTGACATATTCATTTCTATCCAATAATCTTTGCCAAAGAGTTCCAGAGGAAGTCACTTGCTCTGGCAGTATGACAACTTGATGCTGAACATTTTGCACTTCTCATATTAATACAACAATTTGATGCTGAACATCATGTTTTGGACCTTTAGTGAAATAATAAATGAAGAGGGGAGTGATTCTGTACTTTGGGAAATGAGTGTTCCTGAAGGAAACACACTGAGGATCTAGAAACCAAGAGATTACATGGAATGAAGAAAAGAGAAAAAGTGCTATTTGTGGTAGACCTCTAAGGCTCCACCTACACTGCCATATAATGCAGTTTAACCTGCATTATAATGGTCACTGTAGAAGCAAATAATCAAGACTGAACTGCATTGAACCAGATTATATGAATCTATATAATGCCATATAATCCACTTCAAAGCAGTTAATCTGCATTCTGAAACTGCATTATATGGCTGTGTAGATGGGGCTTAAGATGGTACTGCTCAAAGTGGTGGTCCCATGACAAGTGCCATTGCCCAAGACACTGACTGCTGATCCATGGAAAATTTCCACCAAAGAAAAAAACAATTCAATGCAACTGAATATGTTGAAAAGGTAAATATTAAAATGTAATTACACTTATACAATTATAAAAACAATTAAATTTAAATAAACAATTACAATTTGTTTAAAACAATTCACTAAACCAAAGCTACACCCATTGGACCTTTCTTTAAAAACGTTCTCTTTTAAAAAGCCTTATGCAAAAGAGTTTACCCTGTGACAAGAAGGACAAGGAGAGGACCCTTCCAGCCTCCCTGGGAAAGGCGTTCCAGAGTATAGGTGCAGCTGCCAAGGAGACCCTTTCACACATCCCCACCAACCGTGATGTGATGGTTTGGAAAGACCATCACCTCTCCCACATCTGAGTAATTCTGCCTGAGTTCATTGTCCTGGAACTGGTGTTCATTACAGATGAATCTTATTTACTACGGCGCTCCACAAAGGGGGAAGAAAGGGAATATGTTCTTGAGAATTAAGCCTCTGAGGATTAGGATATCCTCTTTCTGATCCGGTATTAGTTTAATTCTATGCACTCGAACAGTGGTATGTGCTTATGAAACCTAACTAAATATTTCAAGGACCTATTCTGTGCCGCTTGTTGACTTAAGTTGATTTCCTCAAATTCCTTGAGTTTTCTTAGGCATTGAATATTAAGAGATGGTTATGCCAAATACTTCCTCTGAAATATAGCTCATGGCATGGGGCATTTGTCGATGCTTCGTCATCTCATACTAACAAGGGAGCAAAGCTACACAATCATCTGCTACCCTTCCCACACACCAGCACACTTTGCTTCCAAGATCAGATGGGATTCAATGCCTGTAGCTGTCACTATCAAATTATATATAAATCACATCGTTAAAATATGTGTTTTAGGTGAATAAACAGAACTGCACAAATTAGCAATATTTTAGCTTAATTGTAGATTATCCCATCTGATATAGTACCACTGTGCTCTCAGTTGGTTATGTTTTTTACAGCCCTTCAGTATTATTGCAAAAATAGTACTGTGATATTATTTAACGCTGTCTTCGAGAAAATATGAGAGCAGCTCTAAATGATACCACAATATAATTTTTGCTATTTGTTTTACCCTTATCCAAGTCACTCTTCTACATTATGCCAAAGGAATTTGGTCCATACCAGCACTGCTGAAAATAATGCAGCCAATAGAAAAAGGAGTCTGGACAACACTTTGAGAGTATTTCATAATAAAGTTTTATACAGCTAATTCCCTGATAAAGTTTTTAGACAGATACAAAATTTGGTCAACTGCCCATCCTCATCACCCTATCACTTTACAAATCCATGTTTGAGACTAATAGATACCATCTGGATGTCATCAGATTATTTTCTCTGACAAGAGCAATTAGCTTCTTGGCTGAAAGGTCAGATCTACTTTGTCTATATTTTCTTGGCATGCTGGGCCTTAGAAAAATGTTGAGTTTAGGAAAAACCAAGGAAGGAATCAGATATGGAGAGTGACCAAAAAAAGAAAGAAAACTGATTAAGTCCACCCTTCTGTTCAAATTGGAGCACCAGCAATCCTCGAGCCAGACATATTGTTCCATAATCTGAAACAGGTTTACTGTCTAAAAATATGATGTCTGAAGAACAAAAGGCATGAGGGGAGCCAGCTAACTTGAAAGGTTATCCTCAGATTAACCATATTCACTCTTTGACTGTGTTCGTTTGAACAGAGATTCATTTTACACACGGGGAAGATTATCACAATGAATACAGAACAGGAGTTCCATATCTTTAATGTTAACAAGTCCATGAACAGGAAGATATAATGTAAAGTTCTGCAGAAAATTCCCTTCCTTTTCATTCCAAACCCACACTTCAAATGCAGCATCTTCATCATTTAATTGCTGATGGAGATATGAAGGCAGAGGGGAAACATCCAACTATGTTCCTGTGACTAAATACACAGCATTGAAGGATGAGATCAATTTTGTGCATCCAGTTTTAGGAGCATAGCTACACAATCATCTGCTACTCTTCCCACACGCCAGCAGCCTACAAATAGACATATTGGACAGGAAGTTATACTGGGCTGCAGCAAAAGAGAGCTGAGGGAGAAGACATTACTTGGTACCACCAAAAGAAATTTACACTATATCTTCCTGTCCTAACATCAAAACCAAGATTACAATTAAGGAAATAGGAGCTCAGTCCCATGGCCTGACTATACAATTTTAATTCCTGTATAGTCTTAATTTGCAGCACAGGTGGAAATAGTGCATTCTTCAGGTGTTAGAGAAGTAGCATTCACAACCATCTTTACTATGAACCATGTATTGATGGGAGTTGTAGTCCAGTATCATCAGAAAGGGTGAACAATTTCCATTCTTGCTCTACAGCAGGGGTTCTCAACCTGTGGGTCCCCTGATGTTTTTGCCTTCAGCTCCCAGAAATCCTAACAGTAGATAAACCGGCTAAATAGATAAATTGTAGGCCCAAACACCTGGAGACCCACTGGTTGAGAACTACTGCTTGATAGTGAGCTTCAGATGGCATTCACAAAGCAACACAGAACAATTTGAAATTGCCTAAATTAATATCAAAACAACAACACCAAAACTAAAAACAATGCAAAAACATAACAACTCGTCAAAATAGCAAAATTATCAGAAAAATACCAAGAGTGCAAGCTAAATCTCAATGTTAAACAATGCAAATGGTGACTGTACTTGTTACTGGAACTTTTGGAGAAAGTTGAACAAAAGACTCATGAGGCTAATGAAGAATAGAAAAAAATGGAGAGAAATAAATCATAATGGAATCATTGTTGCCAAGTGGAAACATATCAGTTTGGGGAGTGTTCGTGCTAGTGTTTATGAAGCAATATGCATGAAACACATTTCTTCAGTGTCACTGAGACCTAAAGAAGCATCACTGGCCATTAGGACCCCAGTGCTATTGCCACTTACCTGTGATGGAGTCCTATTGAACTCAGAAGTTTATATCTGAGTTATAATATTATCATGTATAGGATTGCACTAGACCTCTCTGTTCTATATCTCTTACTGTTTCTCCCCCAGGCCCTGACCCACATACTTCAGAAAGTTTGTGAAGAACAGAAACTATGAAAAAAATAGTAAGGATTCTGTAAAACCTATTTGTCCTTACCTTCAATAAGAGGTTTTGATGTTCCTCTGACTGACTGAAGTTGGAGCCCATCTCAAATATACTCATTGTTCCCTCCTCACACAGATTTAGCCACTTTTGATATTCTTCATGTCCTGGAAGCCTATCCCAGAAAGTTTTGAAGACTTCCCATACTGCCTCCTGACACACTGAGGAAAAAGAAAAATATGCATTTTTAATCTGCAGTTGTTATGATTATCTATCACTATACAATTCCTCGCTGGGTCAAACTAGTAAACAGTCATTTTATCTAGCACCACTTTTTCAGCAAGACAAGGGGAAAAACTGCTTTAGATAGTAATTTTTGGCCCATAACTCCCATAACTCCTACATTTAGCATGTCAGCTAGAGTAATCTTGGAGTTATAGTCCAAAAGCACCTTTTATATGTTTGGGAGAAAAAGAAATGTTTGCAAAGTCAACACCAATTTCTGGTGGTTCCTCCTTCCTGCTACACCCACCATGCCAAACTGTTCAGTTCTAAATGGTTGTTCAGCCTTCAAGAGTAGATTTGAGGAGTCACCCAAAATTTAGAGTGAACAGAAAGATGTCGGGAAATCCCAAAAGTTTCATAAAAACAAGTGAATAATTCAGATACACAGCCAGTATATAGGACATTGATAAATGCTTATTGTAACCCACCACACATAGAATCTTCAGTCCTGCAGATCACAGAATGATCTGGCTGGACCTTATGCTTCTGCCTAATGAACACAACAAGAATACAAATGGAGATGAAAATAAGGGTACACAAAAAGCAAATTGATGCTAGGCAGCCTTCCCTAACCTGATAGACTCTGCATGTATTGGTTCACAACTCCAGATGATCGTTTAGATCAGGGCTTCTTGACCATTTTCTGCTCACAACCCGTTCCCATCTGATAATTTTTTGTCTGATCCCAGGTAATTAGCTATATTAGCTATATAAAATAGGAATAAAAACCAAACATTTATTGAAAAAAATCAGCATTTGTAAGGTTTGCTAAACTAGTTGATTTTCCTTTTTGTGGAGTAAAGCTGGAGCATTTTCTGAAGAGCCCACTGTAAACATGGCATGTTGCTAACAGGTTTGTGGAAATGATTTACATTCAGAAACCTTTTATTTTTGTCAAATTTTGTGACCCCAACATTGAGACTCAGAGTTTAAGAAGCAGTGGTTTAGATGATGATTATAGGATTTATAGACAACACATTTGGAGGGTACCATGGGAGAAACTTCACTAAACATTTTAAAATAGTCTACAAAGTATTCTCAATACACATGAAACCGAAATGGATGGAGAATTGCACCAAGACTAAATGGTTACTCTGCAAAAGTGTGCTGAGACAAGTGGCAGCCAATAGCTGCCACTGCAGTGAATTGGTGAATACTGTCTTTAGTCTGCATTTTAAAGGAGCTATCAAAGGTGCTGAATCTTATCCCCAGAATGCGTTCTGTACTTTGGATAGCTCCTTTAAAGTTTGGAATTAGGCATGAAGTGATTTCAGTGGTCTACTGATATGAGAGTCACAGCTGCCATTCACAGAGAAGGGCATAAAGCTCCTGTAACTCTCAGTAAAAGGATAGCTCACCTTTAGCGGGAGCTAGACTTTCTGTTAATGTGCACCGAGCTCCTACCTAACGACTCTCCCTCCCTTTTCACCCTCTTCTCTCTGCCGGTCAGAGCAGTTGGTTACATCATGTTCACACAGGAACCTTTCTGTGACCCAGGACAAATAAAGGAACAGGAAGGATTTTCCTAGTTGCTTAATAAAAAAAAGAAGTTGGGACAGAATTGAAATGGTTTTCCATTCAGCCTGCAAACTGAATCTCAGCTATATTGCCGGTAGATCTTATTGTGAGACTCTATTCAGAAGAGTTGTTTTTCATGTGAAAGTCTTTAGATTCAGAGCCAGGACATGGGAAAGGCAAACCTTAGAACTGTTTTAAGAAAATACAGGTTGAGTGCTCCTTGTCTGAAATGTTACTATCTTGGCTTCCCAGGAGGTCAATTTTGAATTTTGGAGTATTTTGGATTTTGGAATTCTAGGAAAAGGATGCTTTACCTGTACTTTTCTTCAGGCTACTAAGGAAGGGTGGAGAACAGAGCAACTCTCCGTTGCCTGTTCTTGCAAATATTCTGAACTTAATTTTCAAGACAAATCAGCTCCTGTGCTATCAGCTTCAATTTAATCAAACTCTATGTAATTTAAAATAATTGTTCTCTCTGTATTTTTTCTGTTCATTGATATACTTAAGTGATCCCTTGTAGCCTGAGGATGATGGTTCATTGATAGACATTTTGTTTCACAGTTTCCTAAACTGTCTCTCTGACTTCATGGTAGTAACAATAATAAATGTAGCCAACTGACAATGTGCTGGCTTTCATGGTATTCAGAATTTATGCTAGAGGCAACCATAGCAGACATATTTTCTAAGGACTTCATCATATGCAGACTTTCCCCCATTTCTAATCAGAGTCCCACGGAAGCCAGCAAATGATATAAGACTATTTCCGGGGGTTGCCCATGGGACTTCAATTTTAATATGTTTAGAAACGGGGTATTTTTGGAGCTGGGTAGCTATTGATTTTAGGCATTTCTATGTGCTTAGAAGAAGGAAAAGACATGCACTTTAACATGTGATGGCAACTGTTGGATTTCTTCATGTAATATCATTTTAGGTGTCCTTTTTATGATACTGTCATAGCTACTTTGGTTTTCTGTTCAACAATTATGTCTTTAGTAAAATTCATTTTTTAAAAAAATCAAAGAAAAAGCTGGTGTGCACTAGCTTAAGGGGTGACAGATAAAAATAAGAACCAGTGTGGAGTGGGTGCAGAAAATTATTAAAAAGTGTTGACCATAGTAGTTAATGGTGGAAATTTGGGTTTCACTTGAGACAGCTAAATTGGTGGTGCTTGACACATTGGAACAAGATGGTCTATTTTAATTAATAATAATAATAATAATAATAATAATAATCCTTTATTTATACCCCGCTAACATCTCCCAAAGGACTCAGTGCAGCTTACAAGAAGCCGAGGCTCAACACATCAATAAAACAAAAGCATAACAAATACAACAATAAATAAACCCATAAACTCATAAAACAAAACAATAAACATTAAAAGACTAGCAGTAAACATTAGACAATAACACCATGACGCATTTAAAACTAAGGCCAGGCCAAATGTAATGATTAAAATTTTTAAAAATGCTGGACATGACAGGTGAAATGGATAGGTTTTTAGAGATAGGTGCGGTGTGCAGACAATCTTAAATCTCTAGTAAAGTGCATTTGGGACATGATGCTTGGAGCTTCCTATTCTGGGAAGGCACACTGGAACAACCACGTCTTCAAGCTCTTCCTAAAGACTGCCAACATTGGGGCTTGTCTGATGTCCTTGGGGAGAGAGTTCCAGAGTGGGGGGCCACCACAGAGAAGGCCCTGTCCCTCATCCCCAACAATCGGGCTTGCGACGCAGGTGGGATCGTGAGCAGGGCCTCTCCAGATGATCGGAGAGATCGTGTGGGTTCGTATACAGAGATGCGGTCACGCAGGTAGGCGGGTCCCAAACCGTTTAGGGCTTTGTAGGTAAGCACCTGCACCTTGAATTGGGACCAGAAAATGAACGGCAGCCAATAGAGCTCCTTAAACAGGAGGGTTGACCTCTCCCTGTAAGGAGCGCCAGTTAACAACCTGGCCGCCGCCCATTGGACCAGTTGGAATTTCCGGGCCATTTTCAAGGGCAGCCCCACGTAGAGCGCATTACAGTAGTCCAATCTGGAGGTGACCAAGGCATGGACCACCCTGGCCAGATCCATCTTCACGAGGTACAGTCGCAGTTGGCGCACAAGTCTCAATTGTGCAAAAGCCCTCCCGGCTACTGCCAACGCCTGAGCTTCAAGCGTAAGTGATGAGTCCAAGAGGACACCCAAACTGTGGACCTGTGACTTCAAGGGGAGTGTAACCCCGTCCAGCACAGGTTGCCACCCTATAGCTGTGAAGAATAGAGAATTTGGATCATCTGGGCTTCTCCTATCATGTAATGCTGTGGGTTTTGCTATGGGAAGGAAAATGTTGCACTTCTGGTATCCACAGCACTTAAAAGCACAGTAGCTTTGATCTACTTTGCACTTGGCCACCTTAGTTGCTGAGATAATGCCACTTATCATTAATGCTGTCATTCCCCACCCAAACCAAAGAAAACATACCAACAGGTTTTCATTATTAGAGAAAAGTAGCATTGTGACAATCTTTGGAACTTCAAAGAAAGAAAGTGAGTTTTCGTTATATGATGTAACTCCATATTGACAAATTTCAAAGGACTCTGCTCTCCTTACCCTGCCCAAATCCCCGGCCCTATAGTTTGCTGTTCTACAGTTTCCCAGGCCCAGCCCTTTCTGAGAGCCTGGTTATGCTCATTTTAGTATCCCTGGTTCTTGAATTTTGAGCATTGGTTGGATGGAGTTTTAATGCTAATGCTTTATACTTTTATGTCTATTTAACTTTATTTTTAACTGGACAAATGTTCTATCTGACTATGTTTTTTATTTTAATTGTGTGTTTGTTTTAATGGATTGTTTTGTCTTATGGACATTTGGTCCCATGTAAGCAGCCCTTCGGGGAGATGGTGGCCGAGTATAAGAATAAAGTATTATTATTATTATTATTATTATTATTATTATTATTATTATTATTATTGAGAGAATTGGAGTGGTGACAATCTTCATTTTCAAAGAAAGTGACAAAGAGGGTTTCATTGTATGGGATTTTTTAAACTTTAGGAAACCAATCGAATGAAATAAAGATGTTAATGAATCAACAACTTAATTTGCTTGATGTCTGAGGGAATAATTCAAGTCAAACCCCTATGTGTGACAATATGTGGAGGAGGAGAGGAATGTTATGGAAGGAAAAGACTGTATCATCAATCAATCAATCAGACTTTATTTATATCCTGCTCCATCTCCCCATGGGGACTCAAGGTGGCAAAATATCATGACATCATTTTGTAATACGGCACAACTCCTGAATCCACAGGACCTGTATCCACAGTTTCATTTATCAACAAATGGCAAGATATGTCATCTCTAGGCATTTTTATGTCCTCCAACATAATTATCTGGTATCTTGGATAAAAAGTCATTCGTTTCAATAGGTTTTG